CCTTTATTTATCAACTGGAATTGAGATGCAGATTTTGTCAAAAAGGACCATAAAAATTTTCTTCTCCTTGACAGAAGCTGGTAAATAGTAATTCATGATTCACACATCTAGTGGCGGTGATATTCAGCTATTAGTTAAAAGATACTCATTCAAGAGAAGATCATTGATCAAGAAATCTTTGACCAAAGAACCTCGTTGGCTGACTGCAAACGTCACTGGTTCCTGTATAAGACCAGCCAATATGCTTGATGATTATTATGTTAGACTCGCTCAAGTTAACCATTAACTTTTTCCCATAATAATCAACAAAATATCAGCTGCGAGGGGTTGAACTGGTAATTGGGTAGGTAGTGATCTAGTTAGTTATTTGTCACAATGTTGTCATGCGTTTCAGCAACATGTTCACTAGCCCAAATCCAGTCAGAAAAGACGATGTTTATGAGTATTCTACTATGGTTTTCTGTCTATAAATATCATCGCTCCAATATCCTCACCACTCGAGCCTTGGTCGAGTCGAAAGATTGCGATGCAAAAGTCCCACGATTCGATCCAAGTATGGAAGGAGATAGCAGGAGGAGACAATTGTTTTGGTTTGGTTCCAGGAAGAGCCTTCTTTTTTCCTCTGTTTGATCTTGAATTCGCAGTTAGGTTAGAGTTTTTGCTCTTTCTTACAGAATTTGGTACAAGCGCCCCTGAGTTCCTAGCTACATTATCCATCTCTTCCAAACAAGTTAGATCCATGGATTCCGTTTCGTTGCTGTTTGCCGTCGTAGTAAGTCCGAACTTCTCCAGGACAACTGCTGACGAATAAACTCCATTAAGAACACTCTGTCCAAAGAAAGGCGGCAGTAATCAGCAAGAATAAAGAGAAAAAAACAGGGGATGATGATATTAAGAACACTCTGCCCTCCTCCAATTCTTCAATAAATTCAAGCGGAAAGAGTAAAATTGGCAGGACTCGCTAGAGTATTATGAATTCACCGGAAGACGAAGATTTCCGGGTGTCAAAGAAGACTGCTCCGATGGCAACTCTGAAAAGCAGACACCCGACGACGGAGGAGAAGATCGGAATGATGAAAACTCTTTTGATGAAAAACGGAGCAAACCCGATTAATGCTCAACTCTGTAGGAGAAGATCAGTCTAACCGAATTGAAGATATTGATTAGACGGTTGTTTTATCTTACACTAATCGTGGAGATGATATTGATCAAGTTGTTTGTACATAAATTTGAATGTAATATCTTCTGGCTATAGTGATGTATCATGCTACTCTTGTATAGTTGTATTTGAATCGGGGTTAGCATCATGATGATGTATCTTAGCATGATCAAGTTTTGCTGGGAAAAATAATGGTCAAAGTTTCATTTATATGTCCTTTTAAGTTCGTGCCATCAATGGAAAAAGTTCCATGTTCCTAAATTAATAACACAAATTGGGTAGATGCTGAGCCTTTCTTTTGTATTTGGGAGTTCTCTGTTTGCATGTTGTTTGTAATTTTGATAGTTATTTCAACTTTTTTGTTTTTTAATATTGATTGTGATGTGATATTAACCTTTACTTGTTTTCTTTCTTTATCGGAGACTATCCAGATGTCTAAAAGACTATCTAATTTTCTCAAAAAATCAAGATTTGGTTAATAGTCTGTACCAAAAATAAATTGGTAAATAGTCAACGATTTGCAAGGATTCTTTACATAATACAACCGATAAGAGAGTAATCCATGCATTAAGAAAAAAAAAAAAAAAGTAATCCATTCAATTTTGTACTCCCTCTATTCCACAAAAATAATCAACATTGAGTTTTAAGTTTTGTACTATTTTTAGTACAAATTTAAGAAAAGAATGTGGACTTTTTTTTTTTTTTTTGGCACGGAAGTTGTATTTTGGTTGGGTGTATATTCGAAGATTGTCCTGGAGAAGCAGTTAACCTTGCGGAGCCTATTGGAGATGCATGATTAGAAAACTGAAAGGAAACACGAGAATGCAAAATTGCGCGGTTGTTGATCAACCGAAACCACGTGAAAATATACGAGATACGTCGAGGTTCTCATCGGATGTCACCGGAGCCCGAAGGGAACTAAAGGGTTTCCATTGGGCACCATGTGGTTCGTTTGTCGGAGCGATATTCTTTTATCGAGCTCTATTTATTTTTGCTTACCCTCCATGTCCTAAACAAGAAGTCTAATTTATTAAATTAAAATAACAAAATTTTAATAAATTATTTTCCTGGACGAAAAGAATGAGACTCACATAAGGAATTCATGAAAAAAAAATAAAAATCAACTAGATACGGATGAAGCAAATTGTAGCCACGGCTTGTTTATAGTGGCCTATTGAAAAGAAGCACATGATGACTATCTAAGAGAAGTGGAAACATCTCCCTTTGGGTCCTGATGAAACTGGAATTCGCGTGGAGCAATGATGACTATTCCGATGAATCAAGAATTGAAAGAAGGAGAAATATTTTAACAGTCGGAGTAATACATTAATGATTAGTTTCAATGATATAGGATATCAATGTGGAGGTTAATTATTCAAGCTATTTTGCCTTCTTTCTTGTATTCCTTTTTTGAGGGTAAACAAAGTGTTAAGAATGATCTCAGTCCCTCTTTTCTTTTTAAATATATATGAACTGAAATGGAGATCCAGGATCATCTAGATTATGTCTAAAGAACCACTAATTTTCCAGAGATGAATTTGGTGAATGTGTTCACGCATCTGATTGTTTTTCTTTTTTTTTTATTCGTTATTTAGTCAAAATTTCATATAAATAATCTACATTATAAATTGAAAAATTATATTATTTTTAGTAAAATTGATAATTTACGATGTAAATTACGTTTTTCTGGGATGAAAGGAGTACAACGAACTTTGTAGACCCTTCAATCAACCAACTCAAAATGTGATAAATATCGTGCCTGATATCAAGGTTTCAGCATGAGTTTTCCCTATAATAAACCAAATATCAGGTGCCAGGGATGATTAAATGGTTAACAATGTAGTTTGTCACATTGCTGTCATTCGTTTTAAATTTTGTCATGATTTTTACGCTTTCTCATGCGTGATTTTAAAGATTGTTTGGGTTTCAGAATTTTATGTTCGTAGTTGAGGGATTGTATGACAGTTATTTCTTCATTTTGTTCCAAATCCTCTTAAAAAGAAAGTTGTTCATATGGTAAATTTGTAAAATCCCACTTTACTCATGACTTTTTTTTTTTTAACAAAGAGGAGGCTAATGTCTAATTAGCACATTTCTGAAATATGCTACCCCAATAACATCATTTTGGATTTCAGTCAGTCAATATATAAAAACACATTCTTAAAATAATCCAATGTGTGTGATTATTCTACTAGGGCTTTCCATAGATTGCATTATTTGCTCCGTTCCAACATCTTTTTGTCACACTATTCACCATTCAAGCCAAACCATCTTTCTTAACTTCGTCCCTATCGATTTCCAAGCTCTGATTGAGTTGAAGACTGTGATGCATGTATAATACTGTAGTCCCAAGATTCACTCAAATTAGTATGGGAGGGAGATTGCAGGAGGAGACAAGTGTTTTGTCTTTCTTGCAGGAAGAACCTTCCGTTTTCTCTTTCTAATATTTCTTTTTTTCAAGTTTAAAATGAAGGTAACTAGAATAGGTTTAACATTCTTTCTAGTCTCTACCCGAAAGGTTTGTTACAACACAAGCTCCCTTGAGTTCCTTGCTAGGTCATACGTCTATCCTAATTCAAAGCATCCTCGATTAATTCTCCGCATTCCAGTGGAGCGTTTGCGATGGAGCTGTGGATAAATCTGGTTTAGTGGAAGGGAACTGTACACGGAATGTGGAGGTGGAGCTTGTGGTATGTTCTTCATATTCTGTTTCTTCTCCCAAAGACGAATTCCATCGAATGATCAGTCCATCCCTATTTTTCCTTAATTTGTTATCAACTGGAAATGGAGATCCATGACAATCTATAATGTAATATGTCTCTAAAGAACTATTACTTTTCCAGTGATGAATTTGGTAAATTAATGTTTCTACATATGATACTTTTTATACATTATTTACTACTACTATTTAAATTTCCTCCGTATAATATACTCGCGCTCGCTAACTCTGTCCTAGTAGGTCTCAAGGTCATGAACAAATTTTCAAGTTTGATTGTCTCTTAGTTTCATGTTAAGTTCTAAGTTTGGGATTACAGTTAATGAGCATGAAGGGTATTTGAATTTTTTTATAACCCCTTTTTTTGGGTTAATGATGTTGTGAGCTGTATTAATATATGTCCAAAAGGGGTGTCTTCAGTTTAGTAGTTTATTTCATTTTTATATTAAAAGAAAAACAATTAAGTACGTGTCACCAAGCCAAGTACCGAATTCAGTTGGTCATATATGCACACAAGGGGAAGTTTATTTCAATTTTATATATTAAAAAAATTTACATACGTGTCACCAAGCCAAGCACCAAATTAAGTTACTCGTAATTATTATGAATTAAAGAAAGAGGTAAAAGTTAATTTTAGTCTTCATTGCAAACAGAGTTGTACTTGTGTCGGGGTTGGAAGTACGGTATAGTAATTATGAAGTTTGTCAAATATATAATGACAAAAATGAATTAGAGATTTAGTAATAAGTAATTATTGCCGTTTTTTTCATGGAGTAATTTAATGCTTAAAATTTTAGGGAACTCGTAAATTATTATTAAACAAAAACCCTTTCAAAAAACAAACGAAAATAGGAAAGCTTAACGGTAACAAAATAGCGTAAAGTTGACGAAGTTAAAATTAGGAAACAAGAAATAGAACCGGGAAATCCTACTTGGAATCGGAAACCTCAGAAATTGGAAACAGGGATGGCTATATATATGTAATGATCATGCGTGAAGGACGACTAATTCCCTGACCTTAATTTCGATTCCTCGTTGTTCTCATTTGTTGTTGCTCTGAAGAAGAAGAAGGAGAAGAAGAAGAAGAAGAAGATGGCTGTTGAGGCATCGATTAAGAAGAAGACGATGGCTGATCCTTCATCGGAGAATAATGTGGAGGTGAATGAGATTCTGAGTGAGGAATTGACCTGGAGTGAAAAACAACTCTTTAAGAAGTTAGGGATTTTCTCAGCCGGAGATTTGGACAATTTTCCGGCGTGGGAGTTGAGAAGGAAACTTCTTCTGAATACGGGGGTGAATCATCGGAACCCACAAAGTACAACGGTGAATCATCTGATTAAATCTTCCAATACTAGTTCTCCTAATTGCAAAGAAGATGATCATGATGATGAGATCTCTGAGAAGAAGAAGGATTTGCGATTATCCACAATGAAAGTTCAGTTAGCTTCGAAGGTTGCCGCCGAAGCCAGATGTTTGGTTGAATCGAACTCTGATTCTAAGAAAGTACCAAAGAAAGTTAATGGGTCGTCGAAGAAATTGGCCCCAAAGAGTAAGAAACAAGAAAAGAAGAATCCGAGCAGAGTGGGAGCCCTTAGGAAGAAATTCTTAGCAGACCAAAGAAAGGCAACACTCAGCAAGAATAAAGAGAAAGAAACAGAGGATGATGATATTATGAAGACCACTCTGTTCTGCTCCGAATCTTCAATTACTTCAAGAAGAAAGCGTAAAATTTGCAGTAGTATGACTAATTCCCCTGAAGTTGAAGATTTTAGGGCGTCAAGGAAGAAAGCTCGGGTGGCAACTCTGGAAAACAGCCACCCGATGGCAATAAAAGATGAGCCATTGAAAGAGAATTTAAAGGAGAAGAACATGGGCGGCATGATTAAATCTAAACAATGTTGTGGAGTAATTGGATCATCATGTAATATGGTATGTTCTTCTCTCAAAGTTGACTGCTCTGGGGCTCCGATCGCGAAACCTGTCACCACGGCCACTTTGAAAAGGCCACCCAGAAGAGATGCTCCAAAGAAGTTAGTACAAGAAACAAACATGGTGCTGCCAAAGAAAGTAACAGAAGAAGATCCAGAGGAAGCAGCAGAAAGGCTGAGAAGAGAAAGAGAAGCTTCCAGACAAGCCCTGGAACTAATGGAGCTAAATGCCGACGTTTACGACAATTTTCAGGTGATGCAAGATTTTATGGAGCTGACGGGGTGCCGTGTCTTCGACGGATTTGGACCGGATTGCATAGGGACATACAGTGATCAGTATTATTTCGATGATAAATCCAGTTGCAGCAGCTGCGTTACAGAAGAATTAGAAGAAGGAGAAATATCTTAGGCAGTTGCTGTAAGACAGTTGTGCTGTGTTTCAAGGCGTTTTGCCTACTGTCATGTACTCCTTTTTGAGGGTGAAAAAATGTTACGAAGGATCAGTTCATTTTTTAATCTTTTTTTGGACCATCTATAATGTATTATGATGTCTAAAGAACCACTAATTTTCCACTGATTAATTTGAAAGTTGTTCATACATGTGATGTTTTTATGTTGTTTATTCGGCATTTATACTACAATCCAAATTCTACCAATGGTAGCTTGGGATGTTATTTCCCTGTTTTGAATTCGGAGGGGTTCCTCTGTTTTGACTTTGTTTTAAATCAAAAGTTGCTGTTAAAATATGTACTTCGTTTGAGTTATCAACTGAAAGAAAGTTACAGACAAGGTTTTAAAGACAATAAAATTTTCTTCTCAGTCAATCGATTCTGGTAAATGTTTCATACTTACATCTAGTTGCTGGTAAATGAAGTTCATTGATCAAGAAATCTTTGACCAAAGAACCCCTCGAATCAGTTGAAATTGCAAAAGTTTTAGGAATCAACTGTGAAGATTGAATGCAATTATGCAAAGCAAGTCTGCATCAATATGTTCGCCGCGAAAATCATATAACCATCAACCATTGCATACATTGACCACTAATTAGCCACCGCATTCCCTCTCTGAAAACCAAGATTGGTGTTGTGTGTTGCTTTTGCTTTCTTGATGTTTCATTAGTAGCTTTACTTCCACTTAGTGTTGGTATTTTTCGCTCCTACTAGATTCTTGCAAATTAGGGAGGCCTTGGTTTGTTTCTGCTGTGCTAAAACTAGCTCGTGTTTGATTAGCTAGTTTATTTGGTTTGCCTATTTTGGTCCTCGCCTCCCAACAATACCTAAGAAAGTTAATCGGTCGTCGGAGAAATTGGCTCAAAGAGTAAGAAAGTAGAAAAGAAGAAACCACCGAGCAAAGTTGGAGTCTTTAGGAAGAAAGTCTTAGCTCAACAAAGAAAGGCGGCGGCTGTACTCAGCAAGAATAAAGAAAAAGAAACAGAGGATGATGATATTATTAAGAACACTCTGCCCTCCTCCATATCTTCAATTACTTCAAGTGGAAAGCGTAAAATTTACAGCATTATGACTTCTTCCCCTGAAGATGAAGATTTTAGGGCGTCAAAGAAGACAGTTCGGGTGGCAACTCTGAAAAGCAGCCACCCGATGGCACTAAAACATGAGCCATTGAAAGAGAATTTGAAGGAGAAGAACATGGGCCGCATGATTAAATCTGGACAATGTGGAGTAATTGGATCATCATGTAATATGGCATGTTCTTCTCCCAAAGTTTACTGCTTTGGAGCTCCGATCGCGAAACCTGCCACCACGGCCACTTTGAAAAGGCCGCCAAGAAGAGATGCTCCGAAAAAATTAGTACAAGAAGCAAACATAATACTGCCAAAGGAAGCAAAAAAAGAAGATCCAAAGGAAGCAACAGTAAGGCTGAGAAGAGAAAGAGAAGCTTCCCGACAAACCATGGAACTAATGGAGCAAAACGCTGACGTTGAGTACAATTTCCGGGTGATGCTTGATTTTGCAAAGCTGATGGGGTGCTGTGTCTTCGACGGATTTGGAATGGATTCCATGGAGAAATACAGTGATGAGTATTATTTCGACGATGAATCTAGTTGCAGCAGCTGCATTACAGAAGAATTAGAAGAAGGAGAAATATTTTAAGGCGGTTGCTGTAACACATTTGTGATTTGTTTCAATGATGTAAGATACTAATTATGAAAAATATTATGGATGATCTATAACACATTTCCTTTTTCCGAAGATCAGATTCAGGGTAGTGATCAAGGTATACTAAATTTTCCCATTTTTATCAGTTGAATATGACTTTTCCCTCCCATGGCGCAAGTCCGAGTTGCCCGTTGAGTATGACTTTCTTAAAATCTTCATCAATTCTTTCTCTGAATTGAGCACCTCCTCCTCCGCTCCAAGACAGTTTTTCTGTGTAACTCTCCAGCAATTTGTAAGCCGTCGAACTTCGACCACTTGCTAGCCACCATTTATACTGTCAAAAAAAGGAAAGATATGAATTACCTTAATTATCTCCAATATAAAAAAGTGAAGATAACAATGAGAATGAATATTACATCTGTTGCAAATTGCCTTTATTTAGAAAGCACAAGTAGTAAGCCGGGTTACATAGCATGAGGTGGATCCATACAGAAATGAGACTGTAATGTTCAAACATGCTTTCTCTCCTATATCTAGTCTAGTTAATATAAAGGGGGAATCCCCAATCTTGACACGGTTAACTGCAAGTTGACGGTCCAAATTGACTACGTGTCGTTAGCCTATTAGACCCACCTCTTTTCTGTCGTCTTTCTCTCTATTAGTTCAATCTCTCCATCTCCCGTTGCCGGTTTCCTATGTGGAGACCCTTCTATTCCAGAGGCGTAAACTTTCTTCTACCATTCTATGAGGCAATTCTCCAATTCGAATGATGAAGCCGTTTGTTTCTCCTCCACCGCCCCTAAACAGCATAACCATAAGTTTCGGTTCAATGGCTCCAATTGATGGCTCGAATTGTTCCTTTATGCTGATGGTTTGCGCCGATGTGCTTTACGTTGGAACTTTAGGCTTCTTATTGTCGTGAAATTGATCCCTAAATTTGGGTCTTTTTTCCCTTTCTTTATCCTGTTTGGCCTCACTGAAGAGTGAAGGTAACAGTAACGCATTCTACTTTCGGCTCGATGAGCCAATCAGGGATTAAACGAAAAGGTTAAATTACAGTTGATCTAATTCTTCACTGTAGAAAACTGCTTCTTTTCGGTTTACCAAAAAAGAAATTGAAATGAAATCTTATATGATGTTTAATGCGTTCAAGGTGTTTGATTTTAAGTTATTCAAAGTGTTATACTACACATAGAAGGTTGTAATGCATGTTCTTATCATTGATATTTTGGACGCTTGTTTTTTATAGTTTGCAAGGTGTTTGAATTACCGAATCAGTTGATTGAAGGATTCAAGTTGCACCTTTTTAGACAAAAAAGTTGTTAAAACTTCTTCAAGTGATGTACTGCTTTGCCTAAGTTGTCTCGAGATCATTTCTTTGCATTAATTCTGTCCGTTTTGTGGTTTTAATAGATTGGGTTTTTGAAGAAATTTCCAAAGTATGCCTCAGACAATCTGGAAAACAGATGGCATCAAAGAAAGTAAGCTGTTTGTTTAACCTCTATACTTGCACCAGTCACTTTGAAACAATGCCTAATTAACTAAATGCTTTATTGCCTATTTTCTGAGATTACAAAGTATAGAGTTTGCGTGAACATTTGTGATTTTGTACTTTCAGTATTCAAAAGACCGGTCTTAGTTAGTGAGGAATTTCGCTGCTAAGAAACTTGAAGGCTTGATTATTTTGTTTGAGCTACATTTAAATCAGGGATCAATTAAGTTGATGTAGGTTTTTTTGAGCGGATAACTATCTTGAACAGAGCTCATTACCTTTAACACATTTGCAAGTTTGACTATACCTTGTTTCGTTGCTTTTATAGTCAGTTGCGTGAGAAATCTCTTGTGGTTGCCAACACTTAATTTCTTGATGAAAATAAAGGTCACAAACTAACTTTTATTTTTCAATCTCTAATTAACATTGTTTTGCTTCAGACTTATTAATGCTTAGAGCCACTGTTGCACAAATGCCATTCCTTGTGGAACCAAGCAAAGGTCTATCAAATTGATTTAAGATTCGCTCAACTTTTGAAATAGTTGAAAGTAACATCAGTTGGCTATCTGAAGTTGTGAACATTACCTTCTATATCGTTCTGTTTTTGTTTTTTGACAGCGTTGGTTAATTATTTGGTTTGTATATATTTTTCTTGAAGTAGGAAAGGAGCTCTAGGACCGGTGAGAAAATGGAATCTTAAAGACTGCATAGGCGAAGTTTTCAATGACCATGAAGCAGTTTCAAGTAAACCATTGTTCTCACTTTTGTTATTTTTATGTCAGTTACTGCTCTATGAAACCCTGCTGCTTATGAGGCCAGGCTAAAACTTGTAGTAGATACTACTGTCATATGCTACATCTCTATTTTTTCCCTATTGTTAGACTGCGTTGTCTGTTTTTTCTTAGTTATTTTGTTAATGAGATCTATTTTCTCCCTATTGGACATGATCATTAATGTGATCAATTGAGCAGAACTCCAATATTGCAGGTTCTAATAGTATATATATATCGATCGATTATCAATTTCTACACTTCACGCTCGAGAAGATAAAGAGTTGTATGTACTACCAACAGTGCACCATCCCACATTTCAGGATTTGTTACAGAGAGGAAGAGTTTGGGTATGATCTCCTATGGGTGACTTAAAGGTTGCATTTGTATATATGATGGTTTTCGAGATAAGGTCATCCATGTATATCTTAAGAATTCCCACACTTTGTTTACATCTTCTGTTTGCCTCCTTTTCTCTGTGACTTCGAGTTGTACTTGTTTATCATGCAAAATGAAATTCCAAAATCAAACTAAAAGTTGTTTTCTAATTTTACTTTTTTTGGATAACAAGTAAAAACTAAAAACTGTACTGATTGCACTCCATGTCTTATGGAAAAAGAGACAAACATTACTTATTAAAATCCGGGTTACTCATCTCCTATAGACCGCACTTCGTGCGGTCCACCCCCTTCTAGTATAAACTATAATAGCAAAAGGCTTTTATTTCAAAAAGTTACATATACTAATGGAAAAAAAAATCAAAATTTTTAAATTGAAAAAATTTTACTATTTCACGTTTGTGCAATTCACAATTTGCAGTATGAATTAATATTTTTTTCTGGGAGCAAAGTAGTAGGATGGACTTGGTAGACCATCGAAATAACAACTCAAAATGTGACAAGTATCGTGCCTAAGCATGATTTCTCCCTACAATCAACCAAATATCAGGTGCGAGGGATGATGATTTGACAGTTTCGGGAAGGAAGGGTGGTTAACATTGTTATTTGTCACAGTGTTGCCATGCGATTTAACTTTTCTCTTGAATTTTAGGCTTTCTAATTATGCGTGATTTAAGATCGTTTGGGTTCCATGTATAAAGCATTTTCTCGGTTCCAACTTATATAGTCAATAGTCCACCAGGAACCACCACATATATAAGCTCCAGCCCTCAATTTTCTTAACTTCCACCATTTCAATTTCCAAGCCCTGATTGAGTTGAAGACTGTGATGCAAAATAAGCCCCAAAATCCACTCAATTGAGTATGGAAGGAGATTTCACGAGGAGACAATTGTTTTGGTTTTGTTGCAGGAAGAAATTTCCGTTTTTTATGTTTGATATTGTTTTTCAGGTTTAAAATGAAGGGTTTTCATTCTCTCTTCCAAAAATTGGTACAAACTCCCTTGAGTTCCTTGCTAGGTTATCCATCGAGTTGCTCCTGATATATATATCCACCTATTTGTTAAAAGTGACTGATTTGAAGTGAAGTTCATTGATCAAAGAATCTTTGACCAGAACACCTTGCTGGAAGACTGCAAACGTCACTGGTTCCTGTATAAGACCAGCCAATATGCGTGATGATTATTATGTTAGACTCGCTCAAGTTAACCAATAACTTTTTCCCATAATAATCACCAAAATATCAGCTGCGAGGGGTTGAACTGGTTATTGGGTAGGTAGTGATCTAGTTAGTTATTTGTCACAATGTTGTCATGCGTTTCAGCAACATGTTCATTAGCCCGAATCCAGTCAGAAAAGACGATGTTTGTGAGTTTTTGCTCCAATATACTCACCTCTCAAGCCTCTAGCTGTTCTATTCACCAACCACTGCCTTCTCCTTTCTCTGTTTGATCTGGAATTTGTGGTTTTACATACTACATGTTACTTCGATTAGAGTTTTTGCTCGTTCTTACCAAAATTATTACAAGCTCCCCTGAGTTCCTAGCTAAGTTGTCCTTGGTTGAGTTGAAAGATTGCGATGGAAAAGTCCCAAGATTCAATCCAAGTATGGAAGGAGGTAGCAGGAGGAGAAAGTGTTTTGGTTTGGTTGCTGGAATAACCTTCTGTTTCCTCTGTTTTGATCCGGAATTCGTGGTAAGATTAAAGTGTTTGCTCTTTCGTTCAGAATCTGGTACGAGCTCCCCTGAGTTCCTTGCTACGTTTTCCATCTCTACCAACAGGCTGATATCCTTGGATTCCGGGTAGTTGCTGGTTGCCATAAACCGGAATTCAAGGGATGTGATCACTACCATTCGGATGAATCAAGTTGCAGCAGCATGTAATACATATCAATTTGAAGTTTAATTATTCAAGTCTATGTTATGAGTGATCATTCCGTTCTTTTTATATGAACTGAGGCGTTATGATGTCTAAGGGACCACTAATTTTCCAGTGATGAATTTGGTGAATAACGCTATCCTTGAACGCTCCAACTTCGATGGTCCCTTAATGCCATGCTAAGTTCCAGAATTATCGAATTAAAAACTTGTACAGGTCCTAAAAGAGGAATTAGTTAGTTTTTGGAGAACTCTGTTTTGTACTGTTTGGGTTTGGCATCTATGTTATTTGGTGTCACCATTGCGAAATTCTGAATCGGGGATTACAGACTTTGCAGTTAAATGAGCACAAAGGGGTATTAATCATTTGATAAACATAGAAATATTGCTTCAGCAGTTGTGCAGATCAGCAATAACTAACATCATACATAAAGGATTTTTACTACTAATTAGAAAGT